AAAAAAAAAAAAAAAAAGCACTGTAAAAATAGTACAAAGGCATCTGTTAGTACAAGTTTGTCTTACCATCTCTTTGCAAATTTCCAAAAGTCCTTTTAGAGAAGCAAATGTGGATTCCCCAGGAGGTTAAAGAGGCTCCTCTGGACTTTCTAGTGTGAGTTTGCAAACTGACAGCTGTAATTTCTTCCTCGTACAGTCCTATTCCCTTACTGCCTTCATTAATATTGTGGACCTGTGTTCAGCTTATACTCCTTTGGAATCGTAGATCAATGCCAAAAAAAAGGCTGCCATCTCAGGTGGAAACCATGAAGAAATAAGGTAGGGAAGAACAGTGGAAGGCATTCCAGCCAAGTCAGGTTTTAGAATATACAGGTTCTAAAGGGTTACTAAACCAATGTCCAACTGTGAAACTGTGCAGTAGAAATTAACTTTTTTCATAATTAGAACCATTACATAAAAAAGTAATTGAGGGGCCAGGGATTTAGCTCAGTGGTTCCGCCACCTGCCTCGCAAGTGCAAGGTCCTGAGTTCGATCACCAGTACCAAAAAAAAAAAAAGTAATTGACTCATTACAAAACCAACAGGAACCAATGATGTTGCTGACAGGAAAACCCAGTGAAATGTGAAGCTGAGTTATTAAAAATACAGTGTCCAGGCAAGGGTACTACTTAGATCACACCACAGAATAGAACCCTGGGTCCTGAGCACAGGTGAAAACAGGCAGTGGCCAAAGGGGCATGGCCATGGTCTTATCTTCTGAGACCATGAAGAAATGAAGAATGTTTAGCCTTGAAAGGGACATGATGAAAATCAAATGACAAAGATTTCATTTATGTGGTGAAGGGGTAGAGGTCAGAAAATGATTTTGATTACCTTAGTAATATTCTACAGTTATAGTTAAAAATTGTAGGATGATAGTTACTGCTGTATACTAGACACATTTCAAACACAGCTAGATGCCCATCTCTTAGGGATACTATATTCCTGTGAAAACTAAAATGTTACTTTTTCTTTGACACAATCTCACTATGTGGCCTAGACTAGTCTCAGTGGGATATTCCTGCCTTTGCCTCTTGAGTACCTGGGACAACAGGCATATACCATGATGGCTGACTTTAAATGTTTCTTTAATATTTCCAGGGACTAATGGGAATTTCATTTTTAAACCTTGGCTAAGAAATTGCTTTTGTTCCTAGGCAAGGGTGTACTGGTTTTCGATATGTAATGTATAATTGTTCCATTATGAAAAGAGAATTCAAAATCTATTAGGAAAAGCAAAAAGTAAAAAATACAGAAGGTCTAGCATATTGGCAGCAACAATTTATCAGAAATCTATTAAGAGATATTGTTGATGTTCAATCTGCATTATATCTACTAAGATCATGGAGAGCTGTAATTACCTCATTTGCAGAAATGAAAAAAGATGGCATATTCATCCCTCTACTAACTCTTACTACATAAAGCCAATTTCATGACTGTCTGAAAGAAAATATGGTTCCAAGTTCAAGTTGTGTTTCAAATCAGCGGTCTTCACAGGATCACAGAGATGATGTACTTAGTGGCCCCAAAACAAAGCTTGTGCACAAGGACTTTTTAAAAATGTATTTTTAGTTTACAGATTTGAAACCATAGGAAATACCACAAAATGAACCCATTTTCAAAATACTGTAACGGAAGGCATAATCTCCATAAGAATTATGTATTTTAGGTGGTATGAAAAAACACAAATTCTGAGTGGGAAGAGTTTTTCTCGTTTCAATGACTTCCCTAGATGATTTTTCTGCATGGCATTTCTTCTAATATACAAAGTTATTTTCTTGTCCATTCATTTCTCGACAAATACAAGGTCCTAAGGCCAGACAGTCTTTTAATCATTGATGTATCCTCAATGCCTAGGACAGTATCTGGTACTGCATTGAGTAAATTCTCAAGAAATAGTTTTTGAATGAATAAAGGAAAAAAATGTCCACAAGTTAAAAGAACACACAATACTTGTGGGCTGGAAATGTGACAAATCCTTTTTTTAGTATATGTGCTCCCGAAGCAAGCACTGTGCCAATCCCTTTTATGAGAACTATGTAGAAAAGAATGGGCCCTCAAGTAACACAGGTTAGTAATGTTTCAAACTACCAAACATGATTCAAATATAACGGGAAAAAAATAACAAACAACTTACTTTAGAAGTCTATAATATCCAAACCGGAACATTTCTTGGATAAAGATGGAGAGCAACACCCCAAAGATCAGCAGATATTTTTGTGTTGGTCCATCTCTGTTGTCAGTAATGAGTCTTGCTAGGAACCAAAAAAGTGATGAAATCAGCAGAGACACCAACCAGAAGAAAGCTCTGAAAATTAAGATACACAAAAATTTCAAGTGAACATTAACACAGGATTAATAATCGCTTCAAATTGGAAAAAAAAAAAAAACCTGCTTGGGAAAGAATAGATTTCTTGACTTTTTAATAAGGAAAAAAATATTGTGCATAAAGCAGTGCCCTGGATCATTTGTTCTTAAATAAGATGCATCCTCCCTGGTGAGACACATGTGTAGCCCACAGGGAAAGTTGGGATTTGCCCAGCAATTACTTGTTTTCAGTAACCCTATTATGCACATCTGCAGAATCTATTCTTTCCTCGCTGGAATCCTGGTTATTCACTACTCTTCCTAACCAATGCTTTGCCACCAATGTGCCAAAACAATAAAACATAACCTGCAACTATTCCAATTTTTGTATTCTTAAGACCTACCAGAAATTACGGATTTAACCATCAGGTATCTGAAAAGATAAGCACTTTTCTAGGAAAAAAAATAAGAGTAACTGGTAAAAAAAAATCCATACGTTAAAACCCTGCGCTCTGATCTAGATCAGTTTTCGAGGCCTGGTTCTTACAACACTCCTATGGATTTTAATGATTTTAGCAAGCTTTAGAGACCGTTATCCCAAATCCCTATTGTTTTTAAGTTAATAGGCAATTTAGCACTTTCAATACAGTTGTGGGAGGTGAAGTAGTTCAGAAAAATGGGAATCACTGGCTTGGCCAGTGAGACTCAGTGCACATTTCAGGAAGAGCCGTCAAGGAGAAAACTGAGGTTATGACCACATCCACCGCCAGAGTTCGGTATTCGCCAAACTCCCAGGAGGCGATGCAGGATCAGGTGCGTCTGTTTTCAGAGGTTTCCACCTTGGGCCGCACACCTAAAACTCCTAACGGGCTCCTAACCTGCGCCCGAATTCCACCCCGCAGACCTCCTGGTTCGGTGGATCTGGGGTACCGAGCGAGCAGCAGGGAGCACCTGGTCCCAGGTGACTAGAGGTGAGACCTGCTGTCTAGACGCTGATGGCCTTTCCCCTTGGAGACTGCAGGCGCCACTGAGAATCGGGGAAATTAGGTATCCTTCTCCAGAAAAATGAAAGATGCCTATGTGAATTTATCCTTAATTTTCATTATGGCTCATTCGAGCCGCAAGAGGTCCTCGGCACTTCAGGGGGTTCACCTCGCACTAAAATCCACCCTGGACCTGCCCAGCCGCGGGGTCTCAAGACCCACAACGAGAGGGGACGCGGGGTCTCCGCTCTCCCCCGCCCCTCCCTCAATCCAACAGGTCGAGCCATTTGGGGGACCCCGGGGTCGTGAGCACCCCAGCGGGGGAGGGGAGCCCCAGAGTCCAGGTTTCCCTGCGCAGCCGCCTCACCCGGCGATGAGGAAGATGATACGCAGCGGCTCGGTGGCGATGGTGAAGACGTAGAGTGCGAGTGCCGGCCCGAAGGCAATGAAGGCGCAGCCGAAGAACACGGCCGCCGTCATGGCGACCGCAGAAGCCAACTCGGGGGCCCTGAGGGGACGCAAGGGGCCTGGGCGCGCGGAGGGCCGGGGCGGAGCCTCGCGGTCTCGCGGCACAGGCAGAGCGGACGGGGGCGGGGCCTTCTGGGTCGGAGGCGGGCGCAGCCCAGGCGGGCCGAGGGCGGGGCCTCTGGTGCGGTCAAACCCGGGGCCGTGTCACGGGCGGCTCGCGAGCGGGGGCGGGGCCGGGGCGGGCCCATAGGGGTCGCGAGGGCGAGGGCGAGGGCGGGGGCGAGGGCGGGGGAGCTCCGGGATC